TCGAGCAGGTCGTCCGATCGTGCAGGTGGCCGCATTCACGCGCGCCGACGCACGAGTCTAGAAGCAGTAGGAGTAGCATGGGAGGGTAGCAGGCATTACTGGTTTAACTACGAAGGGCAAGGAATAGGTGATGTCTCAGTAAACTGTATAATGCAGATAGATGGGAAACTCGAAAATCCAATGCTTTTAAACGACACTCCACAGAAGAGGGAGGAAACATTTATCTTCCATGTCTAGTGATAGGAAGCGACAGTTTAGCTTGTTATTGAAATAGGAATATGCTACTCAAGGTTAAAAATAGTCCCACACACACAAGCTTCTGCGGCTCCAAGCAAGCCTGTCATGGATACTCTAGGCGGCCTCACTTCTGGGTTTCCCGATGATTTTAGCTTTTATTCATTGAGGGCTTGACTCCGTCTCCTCTATCCAAAATTTTCCAGCCGGAACCCTAAAATATACCTACTTCGGAATTATGAGACCTGCTGATCGTAGATTGGGTGATGTTGTGGGCTATGTAAGTCCCTTTAGTTACCACTAACCCCAGGATTATGTGCAATGGGAATAGTGGCAATAGGGGAGGGAGTTAAGGGTCAGGCTTTATTGCGAGCAAACGGCAGAATGTGTTCAAGAAAACAGAAAAAATAGCTTATATCCACCACATTTATTCTTCTAGGACTATTTGTAGCAGCGATATTGATAGTAACATTTAAGAAATACTAAAAAGCCAACTCTCGATTTCTAAAGGGAATTTGGATTAAAAAGTCCACGATAAAACAACTTTTTGCATGTTTTTATATGACTGTAAGATTTAACACAATAATTACTTCCCATAGATAGGAAAAAATAAACCAAACCAGACCAGGCTACGTATTTTAAACTGAGAGTGTTTGCATACACTTTATCTGTCAACCGCCCCCCTCCCCTCTTTCGAAATTCTAGCACGGAGTCGTGCATACGCATAAAGACGTCAAATAGTGGTACGAGAAAGCCTATCCCCAGTCGCCAATGTAATAATAGCACTTACATGAAGTTGGAAAATCTGCGCTTTCCTCTCCTTTCGGTGAGTTTGCTCGAAACGCTGGTTACTC